AAAAATTTCAAAGATCGGATTTTCGAAGGGTCTCTAGAAAACCACTCTGTATCTCTCAAAACTAAAACGGCAACCTATCGATTTTTTTTCATACGTAGATAGCCCAAAGTGTCCTGTTTAAAATGGGACTTAAGCGACCTGTTAGTTTTTTGTGGTTTAGGCGTGGCATCGGATTTTCTCGAAGCCCAGGATCAATATTTCTTTAGATGTATAGTCTCAAAAACAAATAGAAACATAGATAAGCGACTACGCCGGATCTTTTGGCAATATTTGTTTTTCGAAACAGTTCCAGAAACCTAGTGAAAACGTGTATTAGCTGAAGTAACCCATTTCTGCCTATTTTTGAATAAAATTAAAAATGTCATAAGCCAGTCAAGATCTATCCAAATTACGTCAGAATATCAAGATGTACTCTATTTTACCTGCTCTATATCATGCAGGTCAATAAAATCTATAAAAGTCAATGGAAAATACTTTGGTTTTTTAAAAGATTTTCTAGAAATCGTCCGAAGTGAAACTATGTTTTTTACGGTGCTCAAGTAAAAAAACATATAGAGCAGGTAAAATAGAGTACATCTTGATATTCTGACGTAATTTGGATGGATCTTGACTGGTTTATGATATTTTTAATTTTATTCAAAAATAGGCAGAAATGGGTTACGTCACCTAATACACGTTTTCACTAGGTTTCTGGAACTGTTTGAAAAAAAAAGCTCATTGTAGATTCAGACAGACGATTTTTTGACACGTTCTTTGATCGAGCAGAGACTCCAAAAAACATAGTAGCAGTGGTATCATCCCAAGCCACAGCAAAAAAGCTTAAGTACAATTTAAAAAAAACCAATGATCGTAACCCTATGACATCCACAAACGCATAATTGGAACTCACCTATATGACATCCCCATTGTGTTAGATTCTCACACAACTTCATTTGCCTTCACGCGTAGCGGCTGTTATAATAGCTACGGTCAAGACTCGTTCTCACAATTTATATTGACATCCAACTTCTCTCACGCGTGGGCGTGACAAATACAGTTCTATCTCTAACCACGCACTTTTACTTCATTCTCAGCCGCCCTCACGCATCTGCGACACACTTTCGAGTTGCAATCGTAATCTACTAAGGCGAGACCTCGTCAGTCGAATTCAATAATCTTTTTTTGCTCAACTTCCTGACCAGAGCCTCACATCATATAAGCTAGAGTTGTCACGCACGCTTACTGTTCTGCGTGACAAAGCGGATTACTCATGTATTAGTTTATCTATCCACGCCGAATGAAATCATAAGTAGGTCATATCTCGTTGGTTAGGAGAGAGCGCAGTGATTCAAGCGAGTTAGATTTCTAATGCGTGACAGTCGACCCGTTGCATATCAAAACAAATTCAATCAACAGGATTCCGAGACTTTTCGAGTCCAGATTTGAGCTCTTCTAATGAACCTGACACTGGTAAATATATTACGGAAAAGTCGATTTTCGTTGGTTGTCAGTCCACCCACAAGGTTTCAAGGTGAACATTGCTCAGATTCGAACGCTCCGCATTAAAATAACTAAATCGGACCACTTTTATGAAAACTTTGTTAAGTTTCTCAAAGATTTTTAATGGTCAATTTGACCCAGTAACAAACACACAGACATTCGACATTATGTAACACAGACCGGACACGTAGAAGTACGGCAAATAGAAGTATAATACTTGAGTCGCAGCTGTTAGACTTTTACTTTTACTTGCGGCGTCGCAAGTATTTTCATCGCTGAACTTCTACTTGAACTTTAGTATCGAAAGAAAATACTTATTTAATTTCGTTGCAAGTAGAAATCCACGAGAGACTTTTTTGAGAGGCTTACAGAAGTAATGAGGAGGTATGTATGTCCTTGTGGCAATCGAAAATCATTCTCTAAAGTGTTAAGTTCACGCGACACGCACTTTACAATACAATCCTGCTCAGCCGTAATTGAAGCAATCATCTCATTTACGTTCTTGGAATGAAAGCCCATCGAGATTTGACAGAAGACAGTATTGGAAGCAAGATTTTCTTTTGAAAGTTCAGATAGGATGCGCTGAAAACACAAAAACAAGCACGATTCAGAGTATATGCTGTCTAAGTATACTGCGAGTATGTCTATGCTTGCTAGTGGACAGCTAAAGAGTTTTTCCTCAATCTTGACCCGCTTTTGCGATGGCCGTTTTTTGACATTTTTCTATAGCGGAGAGGCTGATCTTTGCAACATATGTAAGGTCGGGGAAAGCCGAAATTTGAACAGTCGTGCTTTTGAGATGATATGTGCATGGTTAGATCGAGCACGCAAAACTACATGGGGAAAGTCACTTTCCAGGGTTACTTGTCACCTTGTAGTGGGCGAAAAAATTGATGAACAAAGATGATCCGATTTTATGAGAAAATGCAGAGAGAGAGGCTTAGCGAAAAAACAACAGTTTTTGTCTCCGAAACACTCTCATGTGACATCCAACAATCACAGCCAGAGGAAAATAGATACAATATTCTTGATCAGCGCTAAAAACGGATTCAGAAAGAATATTCTCTAGCAAGGAATGTGTCTCTAAAAAATAAACCTGAGGTACCCCTGAGGAATCTTTCTTACCGGCTTGACCTGAAGAGGAATAGCTCTGTGTTGTCAGGAACGCAACTCGAAACTGACAGCTTTGCTCCAACCCCGAGCCCAACCAACACATATTCTCGCTGTTATCCAGTTCTCGGAGAATAATAAACTGTTGCACTGTAGGGATTGTATCTTGACAAACAGACATCAGAGTGATGATTTAGTCTCGAAATACTTTCTCTTTGCACTGTTTCCATGTCAATAAAGATCTCGAGATTTTCGACCAGATCCTCTGATTGAAATAGCACGAAAATGCTCAGGTTGACATTCCGCACAGAGTAACCTTTAATATTATACCTTGATCGAATCGATAGCTGAAAAATAGTAATTGAGACTAGCGGACTGCTTTTAGTTTTCGAGACGCAGTTCCAGTCTGTTTCCGATTGATTTAGGCTAGTTCAGTAACATTTATTGTAGCCAGTTGCGTGAAATATGACTGCAGGTATTAAAGAGAGCCACAAACCAAACAAAACTCCAAATATTGCCTCTGTTGGATAACGAAAAGTTTTACGTTTACTGATCTTTGGAAGTATAACATAAATAATAGCCAAGATGAGGAAAACACCGGGCATACCAATCCCGAAACGGATGCCTTTCGTCTTAGTCCATTCCTGACATTCGTGATATAAATTTCCATCGTGCGAGAGACGAAATATAGGATCACCAATCCATAAACCAAATAGAATTGCATAGGCATGGATGTATCGTGCAATTGATCGTGGATGTAATCCAACTGGATGTTTTGCAACATTTTGTCCACTCCTTGCATTCCATGCTTTCAGAGCATTAGCTTCCCATGCTGGCATTTGAACTCTGTCCTGTGGAAAAAATGGACGGATAATAATCATCAGTAGTAAGGTGATACCAGTTAAGGCGATTCCAATTCCGATTGATACCCATTCATTTATGGATCTAGTTTTTTTGATTAGAAAATATGTTAATAATGCGAATAGAACTCCAAGGATGTAACCGCCTATCACATCACGAAGATAATGAACTGCAAAATAGATGCGAGACAGACCGGTCAGAAGAGATAGTACAATAGCAACAATGCAAAAGATCAATGACACAGTTCGATCTTTGTTGACATCATGGATTGCCATAAAATTTGGGTCACATTTTATATCAATATATATTAGTAATGCACTCATGGCCATCGAGGTTGCAAGCATGGAATGTGCTGATGGAAATCCATAATCTTGTTCCCATTCCCCCTTCCTATTAACAAGCTGACCATTCGTATCAGCCCACAATGGACGTGGTGACCGACAAATCCATTTTAATATACCAGCATATATTTCAACTAGAACACATGTTATAGCTAAAACCATTCCTGCATAATAACTAACTAAGAACAGACTTATCGGACTGAGAAGCATAAGTATATCCTCTTTAAATAAATAATGGATAACTATTGCAGGATAATCAAACCAAGGTGATAACTTCTTCTGAACACGGATCACAATACTCAACTCTTTATCCAGTATTGTGTTCTTCGTGCGTGATACATCTGTTTGTACCTCCATTGCTTCTGATATCTGAAAGGAGATAAAACAAATGACATTGAGGACCTCTCTCTTTCTAGCACTTAAGGAGAACGACTCGTTTGAGAAATTTTCGAAACTTTTAGATCAGATAAATCGCCTTGACAAGCCTATTAGTCACCATAAATTGGAAATTTTTGGAGACTTAAAAGAAAATATGCGGTTATTACTGCTAGAAATTGGTTATCTTTCAGTTTCTAGTTTTCAGACGCGGTACGTTCATTTCCGCTGAAACAGTTCTATAGATCCTAAAAGTACTAGGGGAGGTAACTTACCTCCCCTAGTACTTATACGATAACTTACCTCGTTACCCGGTAACGCATGATACTAAAAACGATTCATTAAGCAGATCCAGTCAAGAGAAAGTGAAGTTTCCTCTATTTAACAAAGTCATTAAAAAAAAGTAACGGAAAAATTGCCATTATCTGGTAACGGTAACTTACCTTCCCTAAAACGCACTTTGTGATGTCCACCTTTGGGTATTTCTTTCTACTTTGCGGCGAATAAAAAAAAACTCAAATACAGAAAGTACCCTCAAAAAGAGGACACGGTATCATGTTGAATAACGGCTATAGATGAGCTCATGTGAAATAAGGCTTGGGAGAACATCCTACGGACTGATAGAGAGCTTATCAAAATCGCTCGGGCTCGTAACTCGGTACTCACGTCCTATTTCCAATCGGATTTTTGAAAGACTTGAGAAAGCTGTTTGATTTCCTTTTCTCGTTAAAACTCGTGGAATATCTCATGTCGTACACTTCTTTTATATTACACGTACAATTGTTCATAGCAGACCAAATTCAAAGTAAACGATTACTTGGATAATGTCAGAAAAAAAGAACTTAGATTAACTTGCATACTTCTAAGAGAAAAATATCTTCCAAATGGTAAACAGTGTGCTAGTGGAGCACGTTTTTATCGACTTTTATCCGAAAATATATTTTAGATTGAGATTCCAAATTTTAACACATCGCTTTGCGTTAACTTAGACGTATAAAAGTTTGTAGAACTAGACAAGTCTACGAAAAGCCTGCCAACGCTCGCTTCCATTCACCGTTCTTGTGTAAATTATGACTATATGAGCGCATTTCTGTTGCGCATATACAAAAATACGCATATCGAACGAGAAAGTTTTCGCTGGAAATTTTCCGGTGAACTATTCTCATGCTCACTGACATCTTCTTTTCCCAAAAGATGTGCTCCTCGAAAACGCTGATGTTTTGCACCGTAAAAAAAGGGTTGCAACAAAAACGCTTACCGTTCTAAAAAATCACTCTAATACTCCTGAATTAGGCATGCTGCGAACCCGAACTTCAGTTTGAAACTTTAACCGAACTATTCGGGTTCGGCTTTAGGCTCGGGGCTTTATGCATGTCTACCCTGAATCGTTCGTGAAAGTTGCTCGAATGTTTTTTTCATTTTAGCCGAAAACGGTTTATCGACGAAAATGCTCGAGACAAACACATATGATGTCAAACACGAAAAAGAGGGTTTTGAGACCATTTTCGGATGATACCCCGCGATTTTTCTTCTCGAATCAGTGACAAACCGTTTATTGCGATACATGTTAGACATTTTTTCGATTGCACACGGTATTTTCCGCAAAGGGGTATTTAGTTTCTTGATGCAAACTCTCTTCGACTTTGAGTCAAATTATCTTTTTGATCCTTCGTTTCAGCTCAATGTTGGTAAAAACATGATCTTTCAAAGCTTCGGTAAGTTCGAATCGCTCGGCAACATACAAGTGAAGTTTTTCTCTTTTATTAGATCTCAATATCGATCGTCCCAATCAGTTCTTCAATCGGATGATCGTTCAAGTTTCATCTGAGCTGTTGGTTTACTTCTTTCGTTTTCTTTTTCCATTCCCAGACATTATTCTTCATGCAAATGTTCAAATTAGGACTCCTCTCAACTCCGATCAAGTTGACTTAACTCTTCATAGAGCCTGGATTTCGAACAAAACCCGACTTTCGAATTTTGACTTGAAACTTGCCACATTGGTAGCCCATGGTCATAGTAGTACGATGGGAAAAAATTTGATTCTGATGAATTTTCCTACCTTGAGATATTGAGACTCGAACATCCGACCCTCACTCTCACCTTCAGGTGAAATATTCGAGTCTCAATATCTCAAGGCAGGAAAATTCATTAGGATCGAATTTTTTCCCGTCGTACTACTATGATCATGGGCTACCAGTGTGGCAAGTTGTCAGAGAGTCAGATAAAGTATGTCTGGAAACTCTCTGCTTGAAGCGAAATCACACACGTCAATACTCTGTCTTTAGTTTAAAAACGAAAAACGGAGAAAAACGTGCGTGTGAACGGTATGATTTTTATTTTATCCTTTTTAAAACTTTACACCGGTATATATATATGCGAGTACAATGGAAAAGAAAAAGAAAGTGTTGGACGTCCGGCAGATAGTAAAAGAGAAAGAGATAGTAAAATAACAGTTATCATTTACTGAAAAAGAAAAGTATCCGGCAACAACGAGAGAGAGGATAACGAATTTCTTGTTATATTTTTTTATATTGGTTACGATATGTTGTATGTGGTTATCCGAACGTTGTTGTTCACATATATCTTCCTCTGTAAATGGAATAATCATATTATCATCGATCTTTACTGTTGTTGGCTGCTTATTTTTATTGTCTGTCTCTTCATCTGGTACATGAAGAGCTATTTTTGGTGTGATTTTCGTTTGTCCTGGCTCTTCATCTCGTACATGAGAAGCTTTACTCTCTAGTATTTTGTTTGCTTGAGCACGAGTTGTTACAGCCGCCACAATTTGTGGTGTTGACGTATCCATCACAATAATGTCTTCTGTCTGTGTTGCCGTTGATATCAATTGAACATAATCATCCGAATCTTCTTCACCCTGATCGACGGGAGATCTGGGCAAATAATCGGGCATTGCATTATTGTCTCCTCTAATATGATCAATTGTGTAACGATATTGTTGTAGTTTCAATCGCCAAGGCTCACATTTCGTGTCTTCTGTGCTCTTTTATTCAATGCTTTTAATGGATTGTGATCCGTTTGAATTTGAAATTCAACGCCATCTACATATTGATGCCATTGTTCAATCGCCTTCAATATCGCATAACATTCTTGTTCAATTGTACACCAGTTTTGCTGTCTCGGGGTGAATTTTTTCGATAAATATGCCACTGGTCGTTCTTTTCCATCTGGATAAGTTTGCAATAATACTGCATCGATCCCCATTTTTGAAGCATCCGTTTGGATTTTATATCTCAATTGATTGTTCGGGAGATGCAGGACGAGATCCGTCGTCAATATATGCTTTAACTCATTGAATGAGTTTTCTTCTTCCTTCTTCAGTGTAATTGGTGTTATTTTTGAACTAGACTGTTTCTTCTTCGGAACAAATTTATACAATGGATCAGCTATTTTCGAAAATTGTGGAATGAATTTACGATAATATTCTGCACCTTTGAGAAAACGGCACGCTTCTTCGGCAGTAGTGGGTGTTTGGGTATTCAATAAACCACGTATGTTGTCGGCATTTGGTCGGATGTTTCCTTGTTTAATATGATGTCCGAGGAAGCCGATTTCCTCCTTGGCAATTTCTGATTTTTCTACATTTAATTGAAAATTAGCCTTGTCCAATGTATCCAGTACGCGTTCCAAATGTATTATATGATCTTTCAATGTTCTTGAATAAATTATTATATCATCAATGTATGCTAATGTGTATCTCCATCTTGCTGGACCAAGAATTTGGTTAATAATACGCTGGAAGGATGGCGGCCCGTTAATGATTCCTTGACGCATAACGGTAAATTGTAAATGTTTGTCTCTCGTTGAAAATGCGGTCTTTGGTCGATCTGCTTTATTTAATGATATTTGAAAATAGTCAGATTTAAAGTCCAGTTTTGTGAAATATGTCGCTTCACCCGACTAATCAAATATCTCGTCAATTCTCGGTAACGAATCTTTTGTTGTTATTTCATTAATTCGACTATAATTCACACAGAAGCGTGTTGTACCGCCTTTCTTTTTTATCAATACAATTGGACTTGACCATGGAGACGTGGAGTTCTCAACTATACCTTGTTTGATCAATTTATCTGTTTCGTCTGAAATTCTTTGTTGATCTTTGTGTGATTGTCTGTATTGGGGTGTGTATAATGGACGATGGTTTCCCGTGTTGATAGCATGTGTCAGCGTTGTATTAACAACGGATGGCGTTGTAGTATCGAATAATTTACCATGCTTCCACAAAATATTTTGTATTTGTTCCCGCTGTTCTACATCTTGTATGTGCCTGGTCATGGTTTCAACATGTACTCGAATCTGCGGTGGATAACATTGTTCACGTAGATGATGTTGTAGATCATTTCCAGACAAAAAATTCGTTTTACATACGTAACATTGATGAATTGGAAGTTTTGATGTTGTATTACAGGATAGATCTCTAGGATCTTTCCTCTTAATTGGATTGTATGCACGATGTGATTGATTAAATAGAGTATCAGAGGATTGATTCATGTGATCATGCCTTTTACTGTTACTTAATGTCGGCGGTAATGTTAAACAAACTGTTAATTCTACTTGATTTGATATTCGTCCCAGTTTTGTATTTTTGACAATGTAAATTGTCGACTATTTGCGTTAATAATTAATACTTTAGTGGTATTGTTGTTAATGTTGAGCAATGCATTGGCCGTAAACAGACCTTTTTTATCGAGATTTTCAGTCGATTCAAATATAGCGTAGTTTGAGTTGTTCATTTGGACTGATGCCTCTACCATGCATTCTGAAAATGGTGGTATCGTTGTTTGGTTAATTAGCAATACAGGATAAAAAATTTCATGTTGTTCGATGAATGGTGTTGTTATTGCTTTACCACTACGTCTAGGGACTATTATTTGTTTTTTCCCTCCATCAATAATAACCCTATTTTTTGTAATCCAGTCTGAGCCCAGTAACATTTGTGTTACCAAATTTGTTGCTACATCAGCTTTTACATGTGTCTTTTCACCGTTTATTTTTATTTCTAATTCAACTTCACCAATGACGTCGACCACCGTACAATTCGCTGATGTATACGATTTACATTTGTAACTAAAATTTTTATGATGAATTTTTCTTAAGAAATCACGATAAATGATTGTAATGACGGAGCCCGTGTCGACAATGACGTTTTTTGTATGATTATTAACCTGTACCCGAATAAGGATAGGACTCATTGATATAGATTTTATTGTTTGTGATGGCTGTTGTTTACTGGAGACTCCGCCATCATGAGCACCAGTTACTGGAAAACCTGTGGACAAGTCTGAATACGATGATCAGGTTGTCCGCATTTGAAACATCCCGTTGGTTGTCTCCAATAGCAATCAAGCATTCGATGATTTATCTTTTTACAAATCCAGCAGGGAGCAAATTGTTGTGTTGTTTCTGATGAGAATGCCTGTCCTTGTGTCGATTTCTGTTGTGGAGACTGTTGTTCTTGTCCGATTTTATTTGCTGTGATAATAATAGTTTCTGTCGTCCGCGATAGGGTGTTTGCGGTTTTACTGGTGACTTTTGGTTTTGTATTGTCGCTATTGATTTTCCGAAATATGGTTGTTGTGGTGATTCAGTATATTGACGGCGTTTACGTATTTCCTCGACAGTTTTAGCAATTTGGAGAAATTTTGTTGTTGTTTTTTCTGCATCGGGCAACATACTCATTTGAAGCATGACCTGCTCTTGCAAATCCTCACGCAGACCTTCTTCTAAATAATCAATGATCATTGAGTTTGACATTTCCCAATCGATTTCACCACACAATCGGATAATATCATCGTAATATTTTGTCACGGATTCGTCTGCATGTTGTTTGCGTTCACGTAGTTCTAGTTTTCCGGACGATGTCGTACGTTTAAAACGTTTTAACATCTCCTGCAGTTTTTCCTATGATGTCATTTTCGATGTATTATCGATATACCATTGACGTGCTGAACCTGTAAGGCGTGATATTGCCATCAAAAATAATTTGTGTTCTTTTTGTTGTGTTATTTTTCCGATTGTATTTATTTCATTCAAAAAACTCATTACATTTTGTGATTCATTCCCAGAAAATTCAACGTTTTTTATCATGCCTCTATGACACTGTTGTGAGATTGGATCCATTTGCTCTGATTGAGCTGTTGTTATTGAATCTGGCATTGTGTTTATCGATAATAACGAAGCTGTTTGTGTTAGATTAAACGGAGTTAAAATAGTTACTGGAATTTTTGATCTGGATGTGCTTGTTATGGGTGACTGTGATTCTTGAATCAATTTAGTTAATATTCGGTCCGAACCTTCTGTCAATATGTGGTGTGACACAAGTGTTTCACCAGTAGTTTTACTGCGCTTCTTGTGATTCGATCTGCCGTTGTTTATTTTATATGGATATAAGACTGCTAAGAAAGAATACAGAGTTATTTCTATATGAAAATGTAGGATAGTTGTTTATCTCGCTCTTTTATACAGAGTGAGTATTTCGTTTTATTTGCCTTGCTCTTTTATAGAGAGCGAGTATTTCGTTTATATTTAATAAGGGCGATTCTTCCTTGTATTTTAATTTTCTTTATCGACGTTGTGTTGTGTGTCTTTGGATCACTTTCTTCGATGGATAGTGAAGAAAACCCGTCACGGCACCAAATGTCAGAGAGCCAGATAAAGTATGTCTGGAAACTCTCTGCTTGAAGCGAAATCACACACGTCAATACTCTGTCTTTAGTTTAAAAACGAAAAACGGAGAAAAACGTGCGTGTGAACGGTATGATTTTTATTTTATCCTTTTTAAAACTTTACACCGGTATATATATATGCGAGTACAATGGAAAAGAAAAAGAAAGTGTTGGACGTCCGGCAGATAGTAAAAGAGAAAGAGATAGTAAAATAACAGTTATCATTTACTGAAAAAGAAAAGTATCCGGCAACAACGAGAGAGATGATATGTACAATATGTATGTCTGTGTGAACAGAGAGAAATATAGAGAACAAAGAGAATAAATGTGAATGATGATCACGCGTCTGACATGTGAAAGGCCATAATCCTGTAACACAAGTTTCAAGTCAAAATTCGAAAGTCGGTTTTTGCTCGAAATTCAAGGCAAATTCATAGGCAAAAACTGACTAAAAATTCAATATCTCAGCCACAAAGCACCATGGGGATGAAGCAACCTAGGGTATTTCACTACTCGCTGAGGTCTATAAGATACAAGTAGTCCGAGTTCAAAACCGATTTATAATCTCAAGAGGTTCCCTCGTAAGCATTTTTCACTGCTCGCCATGTACTCTTGCACCCTATGAACTATGAATGAGAAATTTATCTACGATTCAAATGGTTTTCTCCTGCGATTCGGTGCATATTTACTCCATGGGATGTGGCAGTATTTTGGCTCTGGTTGTTAGGATTGGCTGTTTACTCTTAGGAAGAGGACGATTTGTTTGGAAAGTTGGCTTTTTTGTATTTCGTTCAAACTGGGTGTTTGTTGCCGTTGCTAATGAGACAAATCTAGAGTGACACTATTGATTTACTGTATGATTGAAGCTGAGGTGGTCTTGTTGAAAAAGACGATAAGACTTGTGAGTAACTAAGAAGTAGTATCTGTGTGAAATATCGAGTACTCACTTGTATAAATCGACCTGATTTTGACGGGCATCAGACAGAGTTCCGATAGCATGAAGTCTGATAAAATAAATATAACAAATGTGTAGCGCATTTTTTGAAAAAGGGTAGAGCGACGAAGTGCAAGCTGCATATGGCCACTGCGAAGCGAATGAAAAACATTATGGCGTTTATGAAATAATCAGTCAAGTGTGAAGAAGAGCCTGTATTTCTTATCACGAGTAAACACAATATAATAGATAAAGAAAAACAACAAGCTATTCTCTGCGTATTTCGACCCCTCTATGGTTACGATAATTTTCTGACTCAGTTTTTCATGAGGAATCCGAATCCGGTTTGCTATTGCTTCCATAACGTACCGCTACAGAGTAATAGTCATTTCTTCGAGTACCTCTTGACTTCATTTCCGTAAAAATGGGTAAAAACGCCAAAATGATGTTCGTTGTATCACGGAAACAATGCGTTCGAGACTCCTACGTTCTGATTAGAAAATGATCAGCTCAATAAACTCCACAAACGCTGAAAGTTTCATCAAAATCAGGCGTGCTCACCGGATCAACCTGGCGGTTTCTGGTGGATTCACCCATCTTTGTTGGTCGATCATCATCTTGGTATTTTGAAAATACAACTTGTTTTAAGTCTTTTCTCTTCATGATACAGAATGTAAATATTAAATTACAGAACAGTAAAATATTTTTTAATATTCTAAAGAAGTACTTTTTTTCGTACTAACTTTATTTATTCCAAACGTTTCGGTTGACAGTTCGATCTTGGATGATCAGCGGATACGTAATTTTACGTAATCTTATACTACGTAAAAATTGCCGAGGCAGAGGAAAAGTGAAAAGAATAACTAGGATGTAAATGTAGTATGTTAAAGATGCTTGTCAGGCTAGAGTGTTTTTAATTATCGACTGTATATATTATAAATTTAAAAGCAAAAAGGGGAAAAATATCCCTAGGTTAAAAGTTTTCTATTCGAATTGTTTTGTTGATGTAATTTTAATTAATTTAATCAATGTTTGTATCCACTGAGGAAGACTGAACTATCAATCGGAACGTTTGCAATCAATACAGTTAGTACGAATAAAAAGTACTTATTTATAATATTAAAAAATCTCATGTAACTTCGTATTCATATCGACTTTTCAAAAAAGAACAGTACAATAAAAAGGTTCATTATTTACAGATAAGATAAGATTTTATTTTGCTCAAGGGAAGGATATCACAAAAAAGAACAAAAAACTTATGGCATCCGTGGATACCCCGTGATAATCAAAAACTAAAAATTTAATTCGAGATTTACAGTTGAGATTGAAAACGCCTTCTAGTTACTTTGTCCAGTTGATGGCGTCTACCAAGTTCTTTTAGAAGATCTGGATTTGGATGAACCTGTAGAGCCGATAATGGAAACGCTTGTTATATGTTTTTTCAGAAAATTTACCACGTTTTGAAAACACCTTTTGGAAACGCGTCAGACCGATGTAAAAATTCAGCAGATATTTTTATGAACCACTCTATGTATGCCACAATACGAAAACTAGAAAAGCCTTAAAAAAGATTTTAGTTTTCGGTTGAGTTTCCAAAAAAGCTTGAAAGAAAAAAATGAGTTTCTTATTACTTTTATCTTAAAAAAATATATGCAGAGTGGTATTTTTTTGTCCAAAAGAATTTTCGATCAAAACCTGTCTTTGTTCCTCTCTCAGGAGAAATATAGATCATATCACCGGAACAAAAAAAAATAAAGTTAGTTTTGAGGTGCTGAAAAATGCTTTTTTGTATTCACCACACTCGATAACCCCGAAGATTTTCTATTTTTGGCCAGGGGTACTTTCGAAAGTTTAAGAAAAATTTTGAAACAAAACGGCGAAAAAGAATTTCCGTGAGAAAATAATATTAGTTTGAAAATTTTTCCTAAATTTTCGGAAGTACCCCGGACCAAAAACAGAAAATCTTCTGGGTTGTCGAGTGTGCGGAATACAAAAAACCGCTTTTCAGCAACTCAAAACCAACTTTATTTTTTTTCCTGTGATATGAGAAAATACCTGTACAAGTAAAGATAAATTTCGGATGGAAACCTTTGTGTGACTTTGGGTGACGTGTGGTCTGATCCATGTTTCATGTTGATCGCGAATATGATATTAACTTTGCTCAAGGAGTGGTAATCTGCCCCTACATGTACCTTCAGATGTATCACATTTTGTAGAGAACACTGGAATACATATACTCAAAAACGTAATGAAATTAGAAATTGAATTTTACAACGGATATAGCAGAGACTATTTTGGTAGACAAACGGATGAAAAGAAAATATATCCCTCAACTGAGACTCGAATCCCGGGCCCTCTGGTAACAGGTCAAACTCTAACCACTGAGCGATCGTGGTACAGTCTAACATACATTTTCACGTGAATGATTTTTAATTACCAGAGTCTCAGATACTGACAGTATCCCTCGTACAACGAGCAGTAGTACTGCCGACCTCATTACAAGAGAATTTTTATTCTCTTGACGATTTAATATTCCATGGATATTTAACGGCAGGACTTTGTGTAAACTCATAATATTTATTTATTCAGCACAAATTGTTTGTTTATTAGAAAATTTTACTCTTTGAGTGGAGACTTTAAACCTAAATCAGCGTTAGGTAAGCACGTTCTACAAACTGGTCACTCAATCAATTTTAATAAAATAAATATATTGGTTCATGATAATAGAAACTACAGATTAGTAATACGAGAATCCATGGCTATACGAGAAAATTTTTCTCATTTTAACGGTACTGATACCACTTACTGAGTACCACTTTTTATATGTCCTGAAGGAATTTTAAAGAAAGTTTCTAAAGTAAGAAAGGAAAATTAATGCTCCTTCTTTCTTTTCACGTTCTTCTACTAGGTTTACTTAGACAGTTGTCATACACAGACATGTGCGCTGACAAAAAATTTTCGGCGCCGGCGAATGAAATATTTTACATAAGCGGCGGCGACGCAAGGCTATGAAAATTTCCGCTGCCTTCAGCGGCGCCGGCGCAAGACTTTGAAAATTTTCTCCACCTTCGGCGGCGGCGTGTAAAACTTGGTTATCGGCGGCGAATGCCCAATTTTAAGTAAAACAACGTTCTCTTTCACACCTGGCACGATCTTCGTGCACCAATTGTATCTGTACGTTGTTGAATACGTAAAGATAAAAAAGCGCTGCACGCTAGATTCCTAAGCTAAGAATGTACTGGCAAAAATAGTAAGAGAATCCTGCGTCAGGTAAAACCAAAGTAAATGGCATATCCTGTGCTGCAAACAAACAAAGAAACAATGTATTCTTTTCACATTTCAATGTGAAATACAAAGAACATTTCTATGTTTTACAATGTAAAAACATCTCATTATCGTGTCTACAATATTAATCGTTTTGGCGACGTTGTTTTTAACAGAATCCGCGCTAATTTTTCAACGCTTAACGATGACTTAAACCAAAGAAACTTATGCAGATCTAATACATGGGCATGTGGATGTGTAGAAACAGTTCAGCACTACTTTCTGCATTGTGTGTTATACCGTTCACCGCGTTCTATCTTACAGCAAAAGCTCTCAACCATATATCCCCTACCCATAAATCTTAATCTTTTGTTACTAAAAGTTTTCCTATCTAGAGACCAATATCTGTTCGTCTATACTACTGTTATCGAGTATATTGTATCTACTAAACGATTTCAAAAGTAAGGATAGTATTATTGTTATATTATAGCTTTACGTCTTTCCTTTTCTGTCTTACAGTTATCGCGTTTTCTCTCTCATATTTTGTTTTATTTTTTCATTGCATTCATTCTCTTTTTCTTTTTGGTTACATTCTTCTGTATTTAGTTAAAAAAGTTATTTATTTCATTTGGTGGACACCCAATAATAATGGAACTCTTGTTCTCTTCCTCTGAGACATTAGCGCTCTTTTGATGTGCGTTCGATTTGATAAATATGAAAAATAAATATAGTTTAAAAAAAAATATTCTATTCACTGCTGACTTATCACTTGAAAGAAAGAAACGAATAACAAGTTCGACAAAACAAAATATAAAACAGCAGCTAGTACTGTCTAATGAGCAGTTTTGAATAAACCATAGTTATCATGGATGAACTGCATCTTTCCCACTTTGTCACTACTCAATCGTACACGTTTAGCCGTCAGTATAAGTCCCGTTGTAGAGAAAACTTCTTCTGATGGAGCGCACGTCGATGGTATACTTAATATAGTTTTTGCTAATTTTGATAAACAAGGGTAGGATAGTTTTGATGCGTTCCATCACTTTAAAACAACATTTATTTCCACATTTAATGCTAAATATCGTTCAATTTCATTTTCCAGTTTTTTATCTTTTGGTTGTAACTGTTTTGAAAATTTTATAAGAAGATCTTGTTTAAGTTTTTTTAATTTAACTTGCGTCTCATTTGCTCAATACTGTTCGATGCAGGTCGTTTACTACTGTTTGGTGATTGAGTAGCTTCCATTGTTGATGTTGGACTTGTTGGACTCAGTATTACTGATGACTGTGTATTTATTATACTTGTTGTTGATATCATTGACGTTCCTGGTTCATCACCTTGTGTTATATTAAATTTTTTTACCATTCAGCAAAGTAATTCTGTTTTATTCATTGATAAATTTTTAAAATATTCATCTGTATCGAAAGTATGTTGAGAAGGATCTAACAACGATGCTGCTAAATATATATCAAGTATAGGAAAGCGTGTATCAAATGACTGTTTCATTATTGTTTTTAAATTAACAATTGTTTCTCGATCGTTTAATTGAATAACGAATACTTCTTGTATACTTTTTCGAAACAACAAAACCAAATGCACTGTTGGATAGGATTTTGATGCTTGTAGTACCGTTGTCGCAGTCTCAAATGCTGCTAAAAACTTAATTAATTCTTCGGCAATAGCTATATGTTCAAAATCGAGAATTAGATTAAATAAACCTAATCGATTCCATATTGCTCTAGTACCATTTATATTATGAATATAACTTCTAGAAAACATTATAGGAAAAAAATGGAGATACAAAGATTATTGTTTGCACAAAAAAGATATAAAGATATGAGCAACTCCAGTGTCATAGACGTGACACGCTCGTACACCTTTGTGCCACTATAGACCTTTAACTAAAACCGCAGTAAAGTCCTTATTGCCATTATATATTGGTACCTACCGTCTGTAAAAACAACAGTGCACTTGGCCATTTTTTGAATAACTTTTGATAGAAGCCAGTGGAAAATCCGTCAAAATGAGACATCCTTCAGCTCCACATGATCTTTCTTTGCAAAGTTATAGAATTCCACGGTCAAAAAACTCCTTCACTGTGCGGTACTTTTCTTTCATATGTTTTAAGAGAAAAACTTCGGGTTGGTTTCATTTCAAACTAGATAGGTAACTACGTGGGCTGATGAGCTGATTTTTTATTTAGAGCTTTGCAGTTTTCTAGAGATTGTTAAACACCCCAAAAGTCCCTTTTGAGGTTTTCAGAGATCCTTGATTTTCTAAACAACTAATGTCTACTTCATAAATCGGCTCCAATCAGCCCACATAGAATTATTTGCTCCTTGGATAAAAAAAATTAACTGTCTGCAATCTTTCGCCATGGAGAATCTTGCAATTACGAAAAGCTATGAAGTCAAAAGTGCAAGGGGGAAAAAGCGGAATGGGATGGAATGGGACGGAATGGGCCATTCCGTCCCATTCCATACCACTCCATACCATTCCATACTATACCATTCCATACCATTTTTTACAGTTTTTTCCATTCTCCTTTTTTAAGAGACTTATAGAATGCGCCGGAATGGGCCACATTGGCGCCGAGTGAGAACTTCTATTCCCTTGACTGTAAAGGAAAGCGTCTTATC